GATGTATTCAGTAGATGTGTACAGTGGATGTATTCAGTATATGTGTAGAGTAGATGTGTCCAGTGGATGTATTCATTTTATGTGTAGAGTAGATGTGAACAGTGGATGTATTTGGTATATCTGTAGAGTGGATGTGTAAACTGGATGTATTCAGTATATATGTAGAGTGGATGTGTACAGTGGATGTATTCAGTATGTGTGTACAGTGGATGTATTCAGTATGTGTGTAGAGTGGATGTGTACAGTGGATGTATTCAGTATGTGTGTACAGTGGATGTATTCAGTATGTGTGTAGAGTGATTGTATACAGTGGATGTATTCAGTATATGTGTACAGTGGATGTATACAGTATGTGTGTAGAGTAGATGTGTACAGTGGATGTATTCAGTATGTGTGTACAGTGGATGTATACAGTATATGTGTAGAGTAGATGTGTACAGTGGATGTATTTAGTTTATGTGTAGAGTTGATGTGTAAACCGTATGTATTCAGTATATATGTAGAGTGGATGTGTACAGTGGGTGTATTCAGTATGTGTGTAGAGTGGTTGTATACTGTGGATGTATTCAGTATATGTGTACAGTGGATGTATTAAGTATATGTGTAGAGTAGATGCGTACAGTGGATGTATTCAGTATGTGTGTAGAGTGGATGTGTACAGTGGATGTATTCAGTAGATGTGTACAGTGGATGTATTCAGTATATGTGTAGAGTAGATGTGTACAGTGGATGTATTTAGTATATCTGTAGAGTAGATGTGTAAACTGGATGTATTCAGTATATATGAAGATTGGATGTGTACAGTGGATGTATTCAGTATATGTCTAGAGTGGATGTGTACAGTTGATCCATTCAGTATGTGTGTACAGTGGATGTGTACTGTGGATGTATTCAGTATATATGTAGAGTGGATGTGTACAGTAGATGTATTCAGTATATGCGTAGAGTAGATGTGTACTGTGGATGTATTCAATATATGTATAGAGTGGATGTGTACAGTAGATGTATTCAGTATATGTGTAGAGTGGATGTGTACAGTGGATGTATTCAGTATATGTGTAGAGTGGATGTATACAGTATATGTGTAGAGTGGATGTGTACAGTGGATGTATTCAGTATGTGCGTAGAGTAGATGTGTACAGTGGATGTTTTCAGTATGTGTGTAGAGTGGATGTATTCAGTATGTGTGTAGAGTAGATGTGTACAGTGGATGTATTCACTATGTGCGTAGAGTAGATGTGTACAGTGGATGTATTCAGTATGTGTGTAGAGTGGATGTATTCAGTATGTGTGTAGAGTAGATGTGTACAGTGGATGTATTCACTATGTGCATAGAGTAGATGTGTACAGTGGATGTATTCAATATGTGCGTAGAGTGGATGTGTACAGTGGATGTATACAGTATATGTGTAGAGTGGATGTGTACAGTAGATGTATTCAGTATGTGTGTAGAGTGGATGTGTACAGTGGATGTATTCACTATGTGCATAGAGTAGATGTGTACAGTGGATGTATTCAATATGTGCGTAGAGTAGATGTGTACAGTGGATGTATACAGTATATGTGTAGAGTGGATGTGAAAGAAAAGTGGATGTATACAGTCTATGTGTAGAGTAGATGTGTAGAGTGGATGTGTATATATATATTCAGTATGTGTGTAGAGAAGATGTGTACAGTTGATGTATTCAGTGGATGTGTAGAGAAGATGTGTACAGTGGACGTATTCAGTAGATGTGCAGACAGGATGTGTAGAGTGGTATATTGAGTGTATGTGCGTAGAGTGGATGTCTACAGTGGATGTATTCAGTATATATGTAGAGTAGATTTGTACAGTGGATGTATTCAGTATATGTGTAGAGTGGATGTGTACAATGGATGTATTCAGTAGATGTATAGACAGGATGCGTACAGTGAATGTATTCAGTATATGTGTAGAGAAAATGTGTACAGTGCATGTATTCAGTGGATGTGTACAATATATATATTCAGGATGTGTGAAGAGAAGATTTGTACAGTGGATGTATTCCGTAGATGTGCAGACAGGATGTGTACATTGGAAGTATTCAGTGGATGTGTACAATATATATATTCAGTATGTGTGTAGAGAAGATGTGTACGGTGGATGTATTCCGTGGATGTGTACAATATATATATTCAGTATATGTGTAGAGAAGATGTGTACAGTGGATGTATTCCGTAGATGTGCAGACAGGATGTGTACAGTGGATGTAATCAGGGGATGTGTACAGTGGGTGTATTGAGTGGATGTGTACAATATACATATTCAATATATGTGTACAGTGGATGTATTCCGTAGATGTGCAGACAGGATGTGTACAGTGGATGTAATCAGTGGATGTGTACAGTGGGTGTATTGAGTGGGTGTGTACAATATATATATATATATATATATATATATATATATATATATATATATATATATATATATATATATATTAGGAATAAACACTCGCCAAGGCTCGCTAAATACAAAGTTTATTCCTGCTGCAGGATATTTACCATCCCCAAACACACTCGCGTGATAACCTCTCTCTCTCTCTCTCTCTCTCTCTCTCTATATATATATATATATATATATATATATTCGGTACATGTGCAGACAGGATGTGTACAGTGGATCTATTCAGAATATGTGTACAGTAGATGTGTACTGTGAATGTATTCATTATATGTGTAGTGAGTGAGTGGGTGAGCATGTTATTACGTCGCATTTAGCAATATTCCAGCAATATCACGACGGGGGACACCAGAAATGGGCTTCACACATTGTACCCATGTTGGGAATCGAACCCGGGTCTTCGGCGTGATGAGCGAACAGTTTAACCACTAGGCTACCCCACCGCCCCTTATATGTGTAGAGAAGATGTGTACAGTCGATTTGTACAGTCGATGTGCAGAGTGGATGTGTACAGTAGATGTGTACAGTAGATGTATAATATAGATGTGTATAGTGGATGTGCAGAGTGGATGCCTACAGTAGATGTGAGAAGTAGATGTCTACAGTGGATGTGCAGAGTAGATGTGTACAGTAGATGTGTATAGTGGATGTGCAGAGTAGATGTCTACATGTATATGTGTTATATAGATGTGTACAGTAGATGTGTACAGGTAGATGTACAGAGTAGATGTGAAGATTAGATGTGTTATAAAGATGTGTTCAGTTGATGTGCAGAGTGGATGTCTACAGTAGATGTGTAAAAATAGATGTGTACAGTAGATGTGTTATATAGATGTGTACAGTAGATGTGTTATATAGATGTGTACAGTAGATGTGTACAGGTAGATGTGCAGAGTAGATGTGAAGATTAGATGTGTTATATAGATGTGTACAGTAGATGTGTTCAGTGGATGTGCAGAGTGGATGTCTACAGTAGATGTGTTATATGGATGTGTACAGTAGATGTGTATATAGATGTGTACAGTAGATGTGTACAGGTAGATGTGCAGAGTAGATGTGAAGATTAGATGTGTTATATAGATGTGTACAGTAGATGTGTTCAGTGGATGTGCAGAGTGGATGTCTACAGTAGATGTGTACAAGTAGATGTGTAGAGTTGATGTCTACAGTAGATGTGTTATATAGATGTGTACAGTAGATGTGTTCAGTTGATGTGCAGAGTGGATATCCACAGTAGATGTGTGTATAGATGTGTACAGTAGATGTGTACAAGTAGATGGGCAGAGTAGATGTCCACAGTAGATGTGTTATATAGATGTATACAGTAGATGTGTTCAGTTGATATGTACAGTAGATGTGTAGAGTGGTTGTGTACAGTAGATGTGTAGAGTGGATGTCTACAGTAGATGTGTTATATAGATGTGTACAGTAGATGTGTATATAGATGTGTACAGTAGATGTGTACAGGTATATGTGCAGAGTACATGTGAAGATTAGATGTGTTATATAGATGTGTACAGTAGATGTGATCAGTGGATGTGCATAGTGGATGTCTACAGTAGATGTTATATATATATGTGTACAGTAGATGTGTTCAGTGGAAGTGTACAGTAGATGTGTTATATAGATGTGTACAGTAGATGTGTACAGGTAGATGTGCACAGGTAGATGTGCAGAGTAGATGTGAAGATTAGATGTGTTATATAGATGTGTACAGTAGATGTGTACAGTAGATGTGTTCAGTGAATGTGCAGAGTGGATGTCTACAGTAGATGTGTACAAGTAGATGTGTAGAGTGGATGTCTACAGTAGATGTGTTATATGGATGTGTACAGTAGATGCGTATATAGGTGTGTACAGTAGATGTGTACAGGTAGATGTGCAGAGTAGATGTGAAGATTAGATGTGTTTTATAGATGTGTACAGTAGATGTGTTCAGTGGATTTGCAGAGTGGATGTCTACAGTAGATGTGTACAAGTAGATGTGTAGAGTGGATGTCTACAGTAGATGTGTTATATAGATGTGTACAGTAGATGTGTACAGGTAGATGTGCAGAGTAGATGTGAAGATTAGATGTGTTATATAGATGTGTACAGTAGATGTGTTCAGTGGATGTGCAGAGTGGATGTCTACAGTAGATGTGTACAAGTAGATGTGTAGAGTGGATGTCTACAGTAGATGTGTTATATAGATGTGTACAGTAGATGTGTTCAGTTGATGTGCAGAGTGGATGTCCACAGTAGATGTGCACAAGTAGACGTGTAGAGTGGATGTCTACAGTAGATGTGTTCAGTAGATGTATACAGTGGACGTGCAGAGTTGATGTCTACAGTAGAATCGAAGTAGTGTTTATCTACAGCAATTCTTTTGCAATACTGTTATGATTATAATCCTAAGACATATCACGTGCGGTGTGAAAGGCAGGGTTCAAAGATAGTGCCAGACAATGTACCTCCCTAAATTCATGGGTACGAGAACATTGTATCAGTCCCCATGTTTTAGCAAATGGAATTGTGCGCATTGAGTCTTTCCAGCAAGCTCCCTAATCATGTGCAATAATAAAAAACATACAAATAAACGTTGAAACATGCAAATTTTAATGAACAAGAAACGGATTTTAATGCCCATATTGATATCAGCATGGTCGGCGACGAAGGATTGCTACTGACATGGCATGGTCTGCAAAACGAAGACACGGCAACTATGGGTCATTAAACGAGGGAATTACAGGTCATTAAACACGGTACAATAAAAACATTTAATAAGTGGAAACAGTGTAACCAAAATGAGTGCACAGGTGGCCAGGTGATCTAGCGTTCCCAAAGTCGTTTTACAAAGCTGTGACAGGATCCGTTGGGAAGACTACCCATTCTTTTTGGTTTTGCCCATCAGTATTGAAGCATAATTGACATACCTGTGTTTCCACACTGAAGCAACCGTCATTAAGGATACATACCTGTCTTCCAAGGGTGATGCGACCGTCATTGATGGTACATACCTGTGTTTGCACACTGAGGCAAACGTAAATGGGTACATACCTATGATCTAACACTGATGTAACCGATATTGGCGATACATATGTGTGATCTCAGAGTGGAGCAGCCGTCATTAAGGGTTCGTACCTATGTTTGCACACTGAAGCAACCGTCATTAAGGAAACATACCTGTGTTTGCACACTGAAGCAACCGTCATTGAGGGTACATACCTGTGTTTGCACACTGAAGCAACCGTCATTGAGGGTACATACCTGTGTTTGCACACTGAAGCAACCGTCATTGAGGGTACATACCTGTGTTTGCACACTGAAGCAACCGTCCTTAAGGAAACATACCTGTGTTTGCACACTGAAGCAACCGTCATTGAGGGTACATACCTGTGTTTGCACACTAAAGCAACCGTCATTGAGGGTACATACCTGTGTTTGCACACTGAAGCAATCGTCATTGAGGGTACATACCTGTGTTTGCACACTGAAGCAACCGTCATTGGCGATACATATGTGTGTTCTCAGAGTGAAGCAGCCGTCATTGGCGATACATATGTGTGTTCTCAGAGTGAAGCAGCCGTCATTAAGGTAATTTCCTATGTTTGCACACTGAAGCAACCGTCATTGAGGGTACATACCTGTGTTTGCACACTGAAGCAATCGTCATTGAGGGTACATACCTGTGTTTGCACACTGAAGCAACCGTCATTGCGGGTACATACCTGTGTTTGCACACTGAAGCAACTGTCATTAAGGAAACATACCTGTGTTTGCACACTGAAGCAACCGTCATTAAGGATACGTACCTGTGTTTGCACACTGAAACAACCGTCATTAAGGAAACATACCTGTGTTTGCACACTGAAGCAACCGTCATTAAGGAAGCATACCTGTGTTTGCACACTGAAGCAACCGTCATTAAGGATACGTTCCTGTGTTTGCACACTGAAACAACCGTCATTAAGGAAACATACCTGTGTTTGCACACTGAAGCAACCGTCATTAAGGAAACATACCTGTGTTTGCACACGGAAGCAACCGTCATTGAGGATACATACCTGTGTTTGCACACTGAAGCAACCGTCATTGAGGGTACATACCTGTTTTCTAACACTGACGTAACCGACAATGGCGATACATATGTGTGTTCTCAGAGTGACGCATCCGTCATTAAGGGTACGTACCTATGTTTCAACACTGAAGCAACCGCCACTGCGATTACATACCTGTGTTCCAGCACTGAGATAATGGTCATTAATGGGGATATATCTGTGTCCTTACACTGCCACATGAGTAAAGACGCGTTATTGACCTTTAGAGATGAAGACAACTTCATACCTGTATCAACCCCAAGGACCATCGCATGACTTAGAGCACGATGCCGTCCTTGTCTGGTTAAGCATAACCCCGGGGCAGCCCGACACCTTGATGCAAGTCCTGTTTCGCATCTGGGGTACGACGCCGTCGCAGGTTGCTGAACACGACCCTGCGTACAGCCACTGTGACCAGTTTGTCAGAGCTGGAGGCAAATTCAAAAGACAGTGACATCTCACAAACATGATTTTGCCTTTTCGGTGAAATGATTACATTTTTTTGTAGGTAAAAATGCAAAGATGCTGTGTTAAAGTATAGTTATGCCGATCGTTCATTATTAGATCTGCGAAAGGAGTAGGTTGGAGCAGGACATTTGTCTCAATAGAAGTGGCATAGTATTGTGAGTAAGTGATTTAGTTTGGGTTAACGCCGCTTTGAAGTCGTTCAGTTGTAGTTCAAGTACGGCGTGTCAAATTGACGTAAGGACGAAAGACCGGGGTGATGCAGGGATAAGATATTTACCACTTTGGTGAAACCCTCGTGCGTGGATATGATACTGGAAACATAATCAGCGCAACCTGATATGCCAAAGGGACGCAACTCTCCATAACACACTGCGGCACCACAAGTCATTTGAATTTTGAACTTTCATTCGACTCCACCCTTTGGCTGTGTTCCCAGTCGAATTGTCTCATTTCACAGTGTTAACCTTTTAATTCTTAACGCGCTGGATACTTATGTCACCTTCTGCGTAATTGAAGAGGACAGAAAGAAGGCTCACACAAAGTATGTTCCACATGTAACGAATATACTCAGGACACATTCTACTGCTATTTCCACGTGTGATAATTAGTTTCTTTTCTAATTCAAGCAAATACAGACCAAACAAATAATGCTCTTTACTGAATGATTATATTCAAAATATAAAATAAAAATACATATATACATAATGCCAGATCTTTAAAATTGATGACCTTGGCTAATACTCGTTCTTAAATGTCTTAAATACAAATTGTTCACATGGATGTTTAAATACTTTTTGTAGCGACATGTTAGAGATATAAACTGTTGATAGTTCAGTGGTTTTTTTGCAAGCCTGGACTGATTAAAGACTTAAACATTCTTTATGTTAATGTATCAGAACATGGATGACCCATGCTGCATTTAGACGTGGGGATTTGTACTAGTATCCGCTCATCCCGCTATTACCCATAACATGTCACCGTACCAGTCTACCCTACACTAACCTTCCCCCGCCCCCGAAAGAGAGAGATACACGTACACACAGAAGCACACCAATAATGATGACTCCCATGTAAATAAGTGAATAATTACTGAAAGCGGCGTTAAACCAACTCACTCGCGTATATTTGCATCTCACCCTCTGCACAAACACAGGATTGCTCGTTGCACACTGCTGTTCTACGCTCTTCCAAGGGGCCGTCACATGCGTTGTTGCCACAATCCAGCAGCTCTCTGGTCCGCATCTCCGTCGTCAAGCCCTCCCCACACGTCACTGAGCACTCCCCCGGCTCCCAGCAGTTCCACGGACCGTAGCATCCTGACCCAGCAGAGGATGTCATTAGAATTAAAAAAATATAACATTGGGAAGAGAATTTATGGATGTCAACTTCTTTAAGAGGAATGTTGAGTTCCCCATAATAAACTCATAAAATAAAGAAGTTGACATCGATAAATTCTCTTCCTTATGCGTATCACTTCTTAATGCCCTTCAAAGGCTTGAATATAACATTGATTATATATTCGCAGCAGAGAATCAATTGACACTTTGTCTATAGTGAAACCCTTCTTATCCGGAAGTCGTAAAACCGTATGCACCGCCTACTGGGGGAATAACATTGGGGACGGGGTTTCCAAAAACTCCGTGCTCATGATTCATTAATTGGACAAATGGTTATCCGGCAAATTACTCTTGAATTATGTATCGTCTGACAGAAGGAAGTATTAATGACGTGGAGGTAGCACCACCTAAGTGCATGTAAAACAATGCTTGGCGTAGTTTCATAAAACTTGATTTGTAATTACACAGTAAAAGTTCTTTCATTCACAATAAGAAATGACATGTTGTTAACTGCTTCCTTTGGGGCACATGGTGTGTTGTCCCCTGTGTGTGAGCCTATGTACTCCGAGCAGTTGTGGGAGATTACATGAGCTCACTCACAGGGGGCATCACACCACATACCCCGAGGGAGCAGTTAACAACGAATTTATGTCACCGACATTCATTCATACAGGTCTGAATACATGTCCGCAGTTTCATTCGTTACTCGTTGCTCTTGTGTAAAATGAAAAACAACACAACGGGCAAACGCAAACGAACCGAGGGCCTCACCTTTAACCAATTCATTCTGATAAACATCGGTTCATTTCATGAACCGAAAGAAACTGAGAAAAACAAGTTACGGGTGAAATTTGCACCCTGCGTATGAGCGAGCTAGATGAATAACAATTTCCCGCTCCTTAACCAATCAGAAGTTAGTACTTTATTGTATGGTAAGGAAGTGAGTGACGTATACCAACAACAATTCATAGCGTCATCCAACGTGGAACCATCCCTTCAACATAAACCTAACGGTATATGCTGAGTAGCGCGGTCGAGGATAAACGTGTGTGAATGAGTGAGTGAGTATGGTTTTGCGCCGCCTTTGGCAATATGCCTGCAATATGACAGCATTGTACCCATGTGGGGAATCGAACCCGGGTCTTCGACGTAATGAGCGAATGCGTTAACCACTAGGTTACCCCACCCCTCATTTGATGGCGTGGCAGCTTGATGCGAGAGTGACACAAAGTAGGTCCTCGGCGTTTTTCAATTTGGAGACACCCGTGAAGATCCATCATCAGCAACCCATCATAAAAGGCGACTAACGTGGTCAGGCTCGCTGACTTCGTTGATTTCATGTCAATATATCCCAATTGCGTATATCATTGCCTATGATATCATACACTGAATTGGCTTGTCTAATCTCGACTGCATCAAATAGCTAGACCATTGCTGAGTGCGTCGTTAAACAACCAACAAGCAAACATTTTGGTAAAACCGACGAGTACGGTCGGATGCCGGATCCTGACATACCCCGAAAACCTGCCAGGGGTGGGTAGGGCGGGTACAGTGGATGGAGTGGTCAGTGATGGGGATCAACTATTGAGTTGACAATAGACAGTTTGTTCTAAAATCCAATCCGCACAACAAATAACCGTACTCTTGGTTACACAAGAGTTCGTTATTAGAAAGAACAACGTTAATTGCCATTCAAGGAGATGGTATATAGCTTTGTTTAAGCCGACTATGCGTTAGAGCCTGGTTAATTTAGCGTATCGTAAATGAACATGACGTGCATCTTATTTCCTACACACCTGACAAAGCTGACCACGCTGCCCAGGGTGTTGTGGTTGGCATCATTGTAGTTGAAGTGGTTGGCATCATTGTAGTTGTAGTTGTTGGTGCAGGTGTGGCTGAAAATATTGTTGAACACATTATTAGTGACATAAGCCCTAATGATCCACAGCAACAGTTACGCTCAAAACAATAAATTAGATTGTATTAGTACTTACACCAACTTGTATTGTATTATCTTCCGTGAAGTTCCCGTGAACTAGACTTTCAAAAGTTGATTCTCGCTCTTTTTCGGAAAGGTTAAATTTAATCATGCCTCCCTAACCGTCCAAGCACCTGCTAGATGGGTCTCAAAATCCACCCGAAGTATGATAGCCGGGTCAGTAGGTTACACCCAACGGATAGCATGACTTTCGCCTTTCTCCCCCAATAAACAGAAACGCCGTGCTATAACTTATAACTGATGCTAACAGAACCATTACACCCAACTCACTCACTGTATGACACGTTTCAAAGCTATGATGTTAGATATAGATGAACAATGTTTGATAATCTAGACAGGTTATTCTCCAGCATTGACAATATATATTATCTAACATCTGAGCTTCCTAATATAATACGATTTCCAGGTCGATATACAGGGATCAATAGGTCATTAGACAATTGAAATATGAATGTGTTTCAGTACTTGTGCAAGCAGGATCGCCAGCACAGGATACAGTATCGTTTATGGAGCTAGGTCCGTCGCACGTTCGCCCGGCAATTCCCTTGTCGGTGCACGTTCGATTCCTAACCCTATCTCGCATGTCCGTGTCACAGTTACAAGGTCCCTCCGATGTGTCCCAAGCGGTCCATTCTGAAGTAAATAAACATATGATGCGAATACAGTACATGCTTTGTTCCAGTGAGACAAATGCAACACTTAAGGAAGACACGGGCCATATCCCCTGACAAATATATTTAAAATCTCCATCGAGTAGTCTGGTGGTTAACACTCGTAACCGTCATTGTAGATAACTTAACAGAATAGTATTTCATAATGCATTTGCATACAATGTTCTGTGGCAATGTTGCAATGACAGCAATGTTGTTCCTATCATGACACGTGACAAGGTTGTGTATTGTATTACATATTAACTCACCCCCATCGTCATCAACAACAATGAAAAGCCTCAAGTCAGTTTCTGGTATAGGTGCTTTGTCGATGCCCGTGATCCTCACAAATATTGCTCGACCATTGTCACAAACCTTAAAAAGATGAAGAATGCGAGAATTATGATTGAAGGTTAAAATAACAATGTTCGAATATCCTGCCCAACGACAATACAAAAACATGATTGCATATCGTCAGGATCGTTCTGCGTGCCACGTTCATATGAAACATCAAGAATTAGACGGATTTCATCTAATCATTCAGGTGTATGGTGAGAAAGAATAGATTGTTCGTCACGCTGACGTCCAGGATCAATTGCCCCCGAAGGGCTTGACTATTGTTTAACTTGACATTAAGACTCATATACTTACGCGTGTGCAATGTACATCAATTGTTAAGGCTTTTATCGTTTAATGGACATCAAAAAGAGGAAAACACACAGATATTTCAACACAGGTACTTACGGAGTTATCCTTCACGTCAATTGGGACTTTCAGTGGGTCCTCGGTAGGAGGGTAAACAATTGAGAAATTCCCTCCCGTAAAATCATCAGGGGATGATAGCCCCAATCCCGTGATTGTGTAATCAATTTGGATGTCTCCTTGGACGATACCAAACCGTCGCAGTGTTATATTGTTTGACTGTCCCTCGAAGAGATCTTCCACAACGAATTCGAAAAAAATCAGATCTGCAGATAAAAATTAAAACAGAATCAAAATTTCCTGTTTGTCACTTCCAAGGGGCAAAGGTATTTATATTACTGGCCTAAATGTAGCAAACTTTATGTTTCGGAAGAAGAAAAGAATAAGTTCCGTAACGGCAATGCCTCGGGTGGTTTTACATTTGTACTTCTGTTGCAGGAAAATGACTATGTCAGCAAAACATGGGGGACAAGTCAAAACATTTTGCAATGAAAGTCTCCAACAACAAGAACAGGTTTCATGCAAATTGAGTAGGTTCCGGTAGTGTTCGAATGCAATGTCCCTTAGCACGTCATAGAAGTGTAGCTACATTAAATATTACTTCAGGGAAATGCATTGTAGCTACTAGTTACAGATGACATGATAGAATATTATATATGAAACAGTTCCAACGATGATTTACCATGGTGCTGTCTTTTCTTGTGGAAACCTATCTTCTGACAAATCTATTTGGGTTCGAATCCCGGTTCGCCCCGATTATGTTTTCAGGTTTGTCAGCACCTTTGTCAGAAGCTTTCCCGGGGGTCACACCAAGTAGAACATTTACCGAAGCTATTTTTCTATTGGTAATTGTAGAGAAGATGTAGAAAATGTATCGTCGTTTGACTTTGATTTTGTCATGTTTTTCAACTAGGCGCTCGTGGCTTGTTCAGCACATTGGAATTGAACCAATTAGGGTTCATAGAATACACCAGGTTTATTCTGGTATGGTAATACGTCTGATAAGTATATGCAAATGGCATCATCGGAAGGATTTCTTGTTATTGACTAATCAGTTCGTTAGGTTTAGATTTAGACAGTAAATTTAGAATTTAGACACCATACAGGTTTAATTAGTATCTGTTTTTCGTGTGAGGGTTTATTTCAGCTACCATGCTTTAGTATTGGGGGCTTTTCTTACAAAACGTGATGAACACAGATACAGGTTCAGGACAATTTCTAAAAAATGAAAGCAAATGTCATCTGAAGGCTACTGAGAAAACAATATGTGAAATGCTGGACTTCCTCATTGATAACATCTACGAACAATTTTTTTGGGAAAGACACTTAGGCAAGAAGTAGGCATTCCCATGGACACCAATTGTGTTCCCCTTCTTGCGGATCTGGTTCTTTATGCATATGAATCGGAGTATCTGCTCGGATTGGTAAAGTCAAAACAAGGTCATTTGACCAAGAAGTATAACTTAAGCTTCAGGTATATCGATGATCTGATATCGTTCAATGACAATCAAATAGCCAATTCCCTTCCACTGATTTACCTAGCTGAACTAGAAATAAAGGAGACCGCTTCATCTGTTTCATATTTAGATCTATGCATAAAGGTTCAAAACACTCTCCACAAGACTGTACGACAAGAGGGATAACTACAACTTTCACATAGTCAACTTTCGCTTTGGCAAGTAATATTCCAGCAGCTCCAGCTTTTGGTGTTTACATTTCACAACTCTTGAGATACAATCGAGAATGCCCTTTCTACCAAGATTTCAAAGAGTGTCATTCGACTCTTGCTCAGAAGTTGTTTGATCAAGGTTACAACATTCAAGGCCTCAGTAAAGCTTTCAAGAAGTTTTATTGTAGACATATGGAGGACATTTGATAATTTGACGAATCAGTGACAAAAATGACGTCCGATGGAAGGGTTGTGTCGCTTCATTTAGATATGCTTTTGGCTTTTTTTATTTTGATTACTTCACTTAAACTGTAAATACAAAATGTCGCTACAGCATGTCAGTTTAATTTAATCTTTCAGAAGTTTGAAAGCACTTTTTGAAATTGAATTAATTACATTTGAGAGAGATAAGAAACCTTTCAGGCTGCCAGTGAAACAGGAAGAACATTTCAGTTTTCAGAGTCAAATGAGTCAGTTGGGCGTACACCCATCGAATCTACTCTTTGGCCAGCTGGTTTACCACATTTAGATCCAGCATGCACAAAGTTTACACTTTTCTTCAGTTGAATCTGACACGGATAGATCTGCACAGTCATTTATTACTGTCAATAGTACTAGTTCTAATATGTTGAACTTGGATAAGGCTTTGTTACCAGAAATTTCAATGGATGAATGGCCTGGCTGGGTTCGGACTTTTTAGATGAATGCTGATTTAAATCAATGGACATGTAGAGATATGAGTCGTTTCTTTAGAATTCTGCTTTCAGGCAGGGCTAGGAAAATCTACTTTGATTCTCGGGGGTAATTAGAGGAAGTTGAACATGCTCTTATTTCTAGATTTAGACACAAAGGAACTCAGGCATTGGCGGATTTTGATTTTAGATCACTATTTCGACAGTCGGGAGAGAGTAAATTTGATTTTGCAATTGGCCTCAGTTGTTTATGCGAGGTAGGTTACACAATAATGGATGTCAAATCTATGGAAACTTTGTGTGTCAGTGCGTTTGTCTCCAGTGTTGAATGTAAGGATCTCAGGATAATGTTACGACATCTTAAATTTCAAACTCTGGATGAAGTAGTAGCTTTTGCACAAGAGTGAGAATCGATGGAGCAGGCAGATAACGGTAGTCGTAGGTTAGTTCTGGCAACTACAGGTTGGATTGAAAAGTCTAAGGTGAGTTATACACTTGAGAAGTTAGTTGAAACTTTGTCATTAGAGATAAAGCAGGAGTGGACAAAGTGTGACATCGTCATGTTACAGAGAGGATCAAATGTGCTTACTGTCAGGGAATTGGGCATACTGAGGATAAGTGCCATAAGAAATTGGGTACTTGTTATGCGTGTGGACCTTTGGATCATTTGGCGAGAACATGCCAGTTCAGAGGTAGCGATTCTGTAGGAGGTAATGTTGGTAGGTCTATGCCAGCTAACCCAAACCAGTGGTTGTTAATGAGACCCAAATGATGGGAACAAAGTGAATGATGTTAGAATTGGATTATACGGTTATTTTCTTTGCCTGAGTATTTTGTGCCTCGACGTCTGGACAGTACTCGTTCTATGGTTGACAATTGAGGCAGGATTATTCTGACAAGACGGAATTACGCCCTATTGATGTGAATTTGATTGGATTAGGTGAGACTGAAGTAACACAACCTGGCTTTGTAATATTCCTTTGACTTAAGGGAAAAATACCAATGTGTTACTTTGTTGTGGTGAGAGATCTTTCTTTATGGTGGATTTGCAAATGGCATGAAGTCCTTTTCGATATGCATAGGAACAAGTTTACAGTTCGCTCATGGTAGTGGTGTTCCCTTACACGAGGTATATAAGTATATTCATTTTGGCATTGTTACTTCGGATACTGTTGTCATCCCCGCCAAGTATGAGATCATTTTCCTGAAAAGGTAGATGGATACTTTAATGAAGATGGATGTGTTGAATGTCAAATCAGTTCAGAATGTTGTGCCAAGACAAGACGAAACTTTACGTAAGTGAGAGGCACAAGAATAGGGACTTTTTCGGAGTTGTATTGAGTCAGCTACCGAAAGTACTTCTTTGAACAGGCCCAAGTTTTGACAAATGTAATCTTGGTGATTATTCTAATGAGCATAGACAGAAATATAGAACAGAGCAGTTCTCATTTTGGCCACATGACTTAGGTTCAACTGACAGGGTCAATGATGAGATACATACCAAAGATAATAAACATATTAATGAAACGCCATTGAGATTTGCTTTTCATAGATATCCTGGGGATGGAATGGGATGGTATAAATACAGATCAGATTGAGGGGTCACGTTTGTTCTCATCTCTGGACTTAGCATCGGGCTATTTGGCAAGTGGAATGAAACCAGAGGATAGGGCAAAAACAGCAATTACAACAATGGGAATGTTATATGAATTCAATGTCAGATTATGCAATTCAGGAACATTTCAGAGTTTAATGCATGGACTGTATTCTGGCCAGTTTGAAGTTGAAATTCGTCATGTCTACATTGACGATATCATAATATATTCCAGAACGTTTGGGGAACATTTAGATCATTTGCTGGAAGTAGAGGTGATGAGAATAAATCTGAAGGTACAACTCCAAATCCAGAAAAGGTTTCAG